ATACTTTATTCCGAGTGTTCTTGCTTTTCTCTTTGGAAGTCATCACATAACGGCCTTGTAATACACGGTTCGGCTTGCATTAAATATTACACATCTGCCGTAGTTCTCTATTTACAGTATAGAGCTCTGATTAGAAGACTTCTGGACAAACAGGAAGAAGTGCCGCCGAAACTGAATATGTGACGTGAATCATAAATATATCAGCAATTACAAAACATCATACATTTATTTTCACACAATACGTCTCCTTGCAGTATCAACATAAATTCGGCTGACTTTTATATTTGATCCAATTAGTAGATTAGTTTGATCCACCCCTCGAAAGTTATCGCTGTTTACTCAGCCATGTTTAGCATGTGGATGTGCAAGTCGCGCAAATGTTACGTAAATATAAACCTGCGGCGGAAATCCCACCGAATCTAGTAATCAAGTATCTATAATCTAGTAATTCTGTATGTTAGTAGTTACTGATTTGATAAAAGTAACGAAGTAACGCGTGTCGGGCAATGTTAATAACTGTAGTGTGATTACTGAATTAACGCGTTACATTACTCTGTTAATGACAAAAGTAATATTATCACAGTTACTTTGTAACGCGTAGGCCTGTCACGATAATTAATTGTGTTGGACGATACATTTTTATGGAAATTATTGCGATAAACGATAATATTGTAATTAAAAGGCATCTGTATAAATACTTATTTATGTTACGATTATTGTGTTATGTCACGTTTTGTATGTCTTGTTTTGGGTGTTTTGCTGTTCTCCCTGTCATGTTTTCCTCTTGGTATATTGTCTGGTCCTTTTCCCTGTGTTTTTCCTCCTGTCGTTAGTTTCCCTGGTGTGTCTAGTTGTCTGATTGTGTTCACCTGTGGCCCTTGTGTTTCTCCTCCCCTGCCCGGCTGTTTCTCGTCTTGTGATTACCCTTCCCTGTATTTACAGTCTTGTCTCTTCCTGTGTTCAGTGTTGGTTCGTCTTTTGTTTGTGACTGAGTTCACCGGTGAGTGTTCTGTCTTGTCCAAGTCATTTTTATTTATCCTTGAAATAAAGGCATTTTCAGCGTTATCTGCATTTGGGTCCTTCGTCCTTCACTCAACCGTAACAATTTACATCTTATTACATTACATTTTGGGGGAAGCTTTGTTTGATACAATATATTTTTTGTGCATGATTTTAGCTGTATGTTACAGTGTGAGTACTGCATGTCCATGTCTAGACGGCTGTGTTTGCAAGTCTTTGTCCATGTGCTTTGTCTTGATCTGTGTTTTTGTTTTACCCTCTTTGCACTTCCCCTTCCAGTGTTTCTCGAGTTTATTTGTACTCTGGCAGGCAGGCTTTTTAGAGGGCAGAAGTCGTTTCCTGGCATCCAATTTACAACAGCAGCACCACAGCGTAAACAAGTTCCAAGATGGCCGCCTGTCTGTCCTTCTGAGCCCTCCTCTGATCATTAGGGCCTATTTATATAAAAGTCTCAGAGCCCGGTGACTGGTCGAGCGGCCGGCTGCTGCTTGTCTTTTCTATATTTATGCCAAGAAGACAACATGTACGGCTTCTGCTGGTTTTTTAGAGGGAAAAAGAAAACACACACACCAACATCTGTTTGCACCTTTATCTTCCTCTTTCTCTCTTACACTCATACACACACAGGTCCATTAAAGATGATGGGCTTGTGGAAGATAAAAAAAAGTTTCAGAGACCATTTCATATACTGAACAAGAGGAGGATTTGAGTCATAACGACCGTCAGCTCTCAATGCTAAGATTACTGCTGTTTTCAACGTTTGGAAAACACAACAAATAAACTGACAATTAGTTGAATCTTTAAAAGTAATGTATTTTATGCACTTGGCGAAAGATATTCAAAATTCTTAAACTGTATATCTTCAGTGGGAGAATGTGAATGGAATATTTTAAGGGGGAAAGAGGAATGGAAAAAAAAATTATAGTCAGACTCCGTTATAAAGAACAAACCCAAGGAGCAATTATCTTCTAGTCCCCCTCAGGGCATGCGGGAGAGAGAGGCGCCTCGAATGAAAAGTTTTGCTGTTGTCACAATTAAGGGAAGAAATTACGAAATGTGAATTTTATCAACAGAGAGAGGATTGAGGTAGATGTTTTTCTCTGCATCACATTAATCATCTTTCATGAGGGTGTTGAGTACTGATCAAACTGAACATTCTAATTGGGACATGCTTCTTCTCTGGTTAACATTAGGACATTGTTGTGGAGAATGACACGTTAAGCTGAGAAAGGAGGGAGTGGGAGGAGCTGAAGAGGAGGGAAAAAAGCCAGACATTCGTACACTATAACTTCAACTCTCAAGACAGTTATTTTAAATTGCTCACACACTAAAATTACACAAAAGCAATTGTTGAAACTGAGACTAAAAGGGCTTTAGCTCAACTCAGGTATACAAAACTCTGAACACATATTCAGCTTTGCGGAATCTGACTTAAAGCCACTTGTTTGTCATTGGACCAATTAGCCAAACACCCAATAGTTGATGACGGTTAATTATTTAAGATGTTAGCACTGTAAAAAAAAGCACAGAACACTGGAACACTACAATAGAAGCAAACATAACAGCAAAAGGATTTAGAGCATGTCTATTAGCACTTTCTTTTATGTCTGTCTTTTACATAACGATATATTTAGAATATATGCTGCAGCACCTCTTGTCACCCTCTGTCGGAAACCCGAGCCCAGGCTGCTCTGACTGATAAGCACCTCTGTTGTGATTGATCAACTGCTTGGACACGTCCCACCGTTTAGCCCATCATGTACAATGTGTTGGATCGCTAGCAAATAGAAGTGTGCATGTTACATAGAGATGTCACTATGTTACAGTAAAGTAAACAAATGACTCCAATGGAGGCATTTAAGGGAGTGTGTGGGAGAGAAACTCCCTCTGGAGTGAACTTTGTTATTTTAGTCTTTGCAGACCATTTACATGCACATAACACACTACAGGAAAGGGAACATCCCAAAAAGCATAACATGTCCACTTTAAAGTGTTTACATTTAGCAAAGCGGAGTGTAATTGTTTAGTCAGCTTGTATGAACCGTGAAAAAGTTGATTTTATTTTGTTAATTAAGGAGTTTTGTCTGCTAGGTTGCGTGAATTGTGTGTAGTGATTTGATAAAATAAGCCCTTCAGCTATTTATTGATATGTAAATAATACAAGAAATATTAATCCCGATCAAAACTTACAGATGATGAAGATGGGAGAAAAGAAGATCCTCCAGACTTTGCTTGTTCACATCTTAATGATTATACTAACGTGTTGGTCCCTCTGGGCTTTTTTCAAGAGTGTTTAACACAATTCATACAACATGATTACCAAGTAATGCTCCACCTGTCTATACAGTTGTGGAGAGAATTATTCCCTATGGGAGTGTCTGTCAATATTTGACAGAAACGTGTGTAATCTGCTACACTCAGTTCCTCATTTAAAAATAAATGAAGGTCACTTCAACAAGCTACACACCATATTACATGACTCTATGAACAATATCATTTACTGACATTTCACAGAGAATCGGCCTTGCCAATTTTATAAGTCCATCAAAATGGAATTTTGAGTGTGCCATTAATATCCAAAAGTTCTTAGAGCATACCAGTTTGGGATCAATCCATCTATCTTTACATCAGGTACTCTGGGATCAATCCTCAGGAGAATAATTGTGTGGGGGATACAACAATGTTGTATAAATTGTGCTAAATATTGTTGAGAAAGGACCAGAGGGGCAGACACTTACTGTAAGTGTGATTATGATGCTGAGCATCAGCAGTGTGCGGGATCTTCTTTCCAACACTCATGACTCTGAGTTAGTGGTACAAGCAAGTATTGTCCTTGAAAAAAATTAGGTATATCAATGAAAGTGTTTTTATGAAGAATATGGAATTGTTTTAAACCTTATTTTAGTTCCAACACCATTGGTGCATCTTCTTCCTAATAACACATGGCCAGTGATAAAGGAAGTTCACACCTCCTTTAATCAGAAAAGTACAACCATTTAAAATAAGTACAAATGGCCTCTTTTATTTTATCATTTGAATATAAATTGAATCTATATTGGGACGGGATGGAGCTTGTTAAACTATTTTTATACTCGCTTTATATTTAAGAATGAATCATAGAGGATGCTCAAAATATTTGTCAGATGATTAAAGTACAATATTTCCCAATATAAAATATGTATAAAAAACGAATTAAAACATATCAGTCAAAAGGGTTTAACCCTGCAAGGCCCAAGGTTGTAATTTTACAACATTACTTTAATGTGGTCTTTATTTTTTAAAGACCACATTTACATAGTCAAAAGGTCCTTTTGTTCAGCCTCACAATGCTATTGGGTAGTAAATGTGTTTATAGGTCCTGCCCTCTGGCCATACACTCACACAACTTCCAAATCTTCAAACGAGCAACATCTCTCTGTTTTATTGGACTGGATTTGTCAGATTTAAGTAAGTAAAATGCCTCAAATATATTTTTTTGTGATTATTACAATGTCTAGAACATGTACATATTTAGTTATTGTGGAATACATTCATCAAATGTGATTTTGAGCAGCTTATGTCTTTGTTGTAATATTACAACACTGGGTCAGTGTGGTAGTCAAAATAGCATGTGTCCCTGTCATGGAGCCCGCCCTTCTGATGGCCCTTCTGATGCATGGAGATTGCCTTCTATATGTCACATATGGAAATAAAACACGAATATAATATAATGGTCTTTGAATCATTCACTATAACTAAGTTCTAAATGTGTCCTCTGTTAAGATTTTTGAATTAAGACAGAAAATTTGAAATACAATTAATACTTATTTCTCGATAAAAGTATGTGAAATGATATCTGTAGCAATATGTTAAACTCTCTTGTTATAATTATCAGTTTAATTCGTTACAAAAATACATTTACTCTTCTCTGGGCTTTCTAGCAGACAGCAGTCTTTCTTTTGAAATATGTTGGGAGCAGCTTGGATGTATCCCTTTTAGTATTTTGATAGCCTGTTAGCATTTGCCAGACAGCATTGTGTGATTTTAATGAACTGGTTTACTGCATGTGTGGGTGTAGTGTAATCCTGTTTCATTATGATAATAGGCTAAGGCCTGAGTTTATGTATTGGTGACTTCAAGGTGTACAAAGTTAAAATAGGATTCAGAGCTTGATTACATCCGGACACCTGGAAGGGGTGTGCATGCCATTCCTTATTAGTATGTAATAGGCTAGCCAGAAATAATGCAACACTTGTCCCACCACCATATCTATATCCTTCAGGTAATCTATTACAATGATAATATGCAATTTTATTGATTACATATTATTATTACTTTTTCCATCAGAATGCCACAGCAAAGAGATGAGACTCCTTCAAGCGCGGAATTTTCAGCTTAGCATTCAAGCATACATGTGAGGCCAAGCCACACCCGGTGGGGGTTCAAAGCTGTGGTGAGAACGGAATCTCTGAATGTCTTGCCTGACTTTTTGATGTTACCAGCTAGTGTCGGATGGGATACGCAGCCCAAGTCTGACTTGGATTGGTGTGGTGATGTTGTGATGAAGTTGCCTCCACTCCACGCCTTCCAGAGCGTCAGAACTACAAGATCTACTCAGACAAACTACTCCCTGTGTCCCATTGGTATGTTGTTAGCTCCTTAGATCGTGGATTCGTATATGTGGGAACATCCGGCAGGTGCGCTTACTGCTAACCTGGAAGAGGGAGAGAGCTAGAGAAAAAAGGGGAGAGCAAGCTTTATTGCACATCCGGAGTGCGAGGGCAACCCAATATCTGCTGCCTGTCAAATCGGTATGAGAGCAGAGCCGGCTCACACTGTGTCATCCTTGCCTGTGGCCAATCCCCTGTGCCAGAGAATTCATCGCTGGGACAAAGCCCAACAGCTAGAAGTTTGGAGCCTTTACATTTGTGTGGTTACTTCAACAAGTTACATGGGACGGGTGTGGATTGTCTTGACTCGTTTAACGGCCAATACAAGTTTCCCCATGAAATCCCAACGCTTGGTATCATGCTACATCTTCTGGCAACACGACATCCTTGTTTGTGCAGTCAACGCCTTGCTCCTCTACAATGCGGCCGAGTGCAAATGCCTCAAAGATGCCAAAGCAGGAGATCCTGACCAGGAGACAGTTCAGGCAGATCTAGCCATCCTCGTCTCAATCCTGGCTTAAGAATGCATTTCTGCCTTTTTGCCGTTTTTGGAATCTTTGTTTTAATATTTGCATTGTCATATTTTTTACTTGTATCTAATGTATTTTTGACATGTATCTTGATTGATTCTGTTCTTAATGAAGGTGAACACAACTCCTCTAAAAACACACACAAAGAGCGACGACCATCTTTCAGCAACAGGAGCCCAGCAGCCGACAGTGTAACATCAGGAGGGCCCGTTGAATGCCCTCGAAGACACCATTCTCCACCAAACGAGTCCCCTTCCAAGATGTCACAACCTCCACTGGGAATGTACGCAAGGACCTATGCGCAATTTTTCCAGTGTAAGACAAAGAGAGACGCTGCAGGACACTGCAGTAAAGGGTACACAAACACACAATGCCAGCAAGTGTGCTTTTCCGACGATAGCGAACTGTTTTGGAAACTACCTGTATTAATATTTAATAAATGACTATCATAAAAAATAACGACTGATGTTGATTATTATTCATGCTACTGCTATATACTAGGGATATAGGGGCTAAGCTAAGCAATCAATCCTGCCAAATCAACCCTTAGACTTGTTCAATATATGTATTCGGCATATGTGAGAAATACAGATAGTGCTGCCTCCCACCTAAAAAAACTCTTTAATTCTGCTCCCTACAACAACATAGGAGGCTGTGGCTCGGAGTTGTGCGCTGAACTTCGAAATCAGAGGATAGAAGAGGTTTGAGTCCACTGCAGTCAGCCATGTCATTGTGCCCTGGTCGCGCCCGTGCAGAACACTTCACCCAAATTGTCCTGCTGGGGATTACCCAGCAGTATTTGAGTATGCCTACGTCGCCCTTGCGATAAAAGCGTCTAAGTCTAGAGTTAAATGCCTAAGCTAGCTAATGCTAAATAACATCTTGAAAGCGCTTCAAAAAAAGGGGTTACCGGGTGTAAGTCAGTATACAATTAAATGTGATTATGTTAAAAGAGTTTCACTATCTGTGACAAGTTAGCCTCTATAACACTATAAGTCCACAAAAATGTACCCCACCCATTGGCTCCCACTGGGTTCTGCCCTATAAAGGCACACATTTGCTGACAGCACTTTTGCCAAAAACAAAAACATTGAATACTTCTAAACAGAATTAATTGTACCACAGCCAAATTGTGAACCATTTATCGTAAGCCACTTATAGCAGACAGACATTTTTGCAAGGGTGAAATTTGTGTGTGTGTGTGGTGTGTGTGTTGTGTGGTGATGAAAAAAAAAAAACATGTGTGTGTGTGGTGTGTTGTGGTTGTGTGTGTGTGTGTGTGTGTGTGAACGCATGTTTTATGCTCCACTTACTATTTATTAAACTTTTGTTGCCATATTGTAAGACGTTAATGACCTTCCAGGAACGACCAGAAGCCTCTTTTGCAAGCAGTTTCAGCAAGGCGTTTTATAGGACTAATTACTATCGTGAATAAATTATGTACTTTAGGAGTATTCATCACA